TAAAACTCAATATATTAGTGATCTAGTTTGCTTAGGTGTGTGACCTTATAGGATCATATAATATTAATAATAGGCTTTCAGGTCCATAAATTATAAGTGGTTTCTAGCAAAACATTTTAACCATCTAATATTATACGATTGTCAAACCTTGACATTTTAACTTTCTAGAGTAAGTACAAATGATTTCAGGACATTCCCAACAATCTCCCACTTGTACTAGAATCATCTATTCCTATAATCCCTTCATCTCTGTATCTCGATCTTAGCATAAGGCAAGAAATTGCATAATCCTTATTAAGCTAGATCACGTTTATCGAACTCTGATTTATACTGATTAAACAAACGACTGACTTTCACCTCGTTTGAGCACGACCATGCATTTTCAGTATCAAATCTTTGATAGGCCCAAAGATACTTATCTCCTGTTATATAGGAGGGACAAATCCCATCTTGTTCCATCCATGTTCTTTACATAATTCATAGTATGCCCAAGCACTGCCTTTATAATCACCTTTTACGGCTGTTTGACAGAGTCAAAACAAACCAATCCCTATATAAGAAATCATGATGAACTCAATTCAAAGGACTATACTCTATAGTTGTAATGAGAAACTCTTATGACACTCTTATAACATTCTCGTAGAGTTGTCATAGCGGGTCAGACCAATACCGTGTTCTTCAACACATATCTATGTGATTGACTTTAATACAACATATCAATGACTTCACGAAACTTAGTCATCACTCACCTCACATACCAGTCATATATAGTTATTAATGTCCCATGATAATTACTTTGACTGGAGACCTCTATAATTTATCTCATCTTTCACTTATAGGGTTTCATGATCAAGTCACGCACTTGATGACCTATAAGAATGATATAAATTATTTTGGGACTATTATTTAATTATCCAATAATAAAAATAATACGGAAATAAATTTCATTAATTTGAAAATAAAATCAAATGTATATATATATATATGAACATCATATCATAAAATAAAATTCTCCACTAGAATAAATATTACATCTTTAGAAATTTAATGCCTATGGCAGCAGTATGACTCTCATGCTTAGGTCGTGGAAGAGGCTTGGTCAAAGAATCAGCAACGTTTGCATCCGTCGAGACTCTACTAATCTTCATATCTCCTCTATCAATAATATCACGAAGAATAAGATATTATCGTCTTTCTATGTGTTTGGATTTCTGGTGTGATCTTGGTTCCTTCGTCTAAGTGATGGCTCCATTGTTGTCACAATAGAGATCCACCGGTCCAGATATGCTAGGAATCACACCAAGTTCAATAATGTACTCATCTTCGGTTGTGGAGTCTGCCACAGTGCTTTGCTTAGAGCTTTTCCAGCTCACAGCTCTTTCATTAAGATAGAAGATAAATCCAGATTGTGATCGAAAATCATCTTTGTCTGTCTGAAAGCTGACATTAGTGTAACCACTCACAACAAGCTCATCACTTCCTCCATAGACCAAGAACTTATCCTTAGTATTTCTCAAATACTTTAGAATGGTCTTGACCGCCATCCAATGACTTTCACCTGGATCAGATTGAT